TGAAATTAATAAATTCTTATATATTTCGTATAATTTACAGTTATTTAATAAATCTAACAAATAGACCTCAATTTTATTATACACAATTCAAAGCACATTTTATGCACGAGCGATGCGCATACCTAGAGACGTATATCTCACAATGGAAAAACATTACATACATACAAATTATTGCGCACATAATAGTGTATAAATCTACATGTGTATGTGCGTCGTCGTGTATCAGATATTATTAACATGTGTGTATTTACATAATGAAAAAGGCATAGCCTTAATTATTGTTTTATTGTTATCTATATACTCTGTGATTCGTTCAAAAAATCTAACACAGTTTATCATCAATGTTTCAATGAATTTACAATGCGTTTTTTTTTAAAACATCGATGCGTTCGTTTATATAATAATGAATACTTATTAAAAATTTTAATGTGATTCAATCGCAAAAAAATAGTTCAAACTATCTACCCCTTTATTCCAACGCCGTGTTATGTTGTGAACATACAATTATATGTAATTATGTGTAGTTTTCTTGACATTAACGTGACTTATAATTATTCAAAATAAGAAACATATTTACAGATATATTGTGTAAAATAATACAAAATTGTTGTCAGTAGGATCTACAGCTTCGTCATTCCATATCATAATTTCCAAATAACCAAAGAAATCGAGAACATTAGATTTAACTTGTACTGTATACCAAGTCACGCCAAGCCTGATTCATATGTAACAAACGTTATGTGTATAAAATCATCCTAGAAAATTGTTCATTCTGGATCGCTCTGAAGCGTCTCACCATTAGTTAGGACTAATGCATCGTCATCAGCTTCGTTATAATCGAGAGAAAGAATACTCTCCCTTCTCTTTTTCTTGTGTGTCCTTTCATCGTCACTACCTGGTGCACTTTTATCCCTTTTGGTCCTATCCCTACCCCTTGTTGTTCTAGTTAGCACCTCTTCCCCATTAGTTTTACTGTTACTTCTATTATGACTTTTGCTCCTTAATATCCTTTTGTTATTACGATTTTCTTCCTGTTCTTCCTCCCTATCACTTAATTCCTCATTCTCAACTTTAATAATTAAAGCAGCTGAATCACTCGAGCTTTCATCATTATGATCGGCTTGATTAGGCTTCCGTTCTACTCTCTCTGTTCTTTCAGTACTAGAAAACTCACACTGAGGCGAACATCCTGACGATAACGGTGGAGTCCTAGCACCTTTACACACATCACTATCCTCTATTGATTTCGAAGTTTTTGTTTCCAAAACCGAGTTTTCTTCCAATTCCTCTTTCTTAATAGGTGGAGTATGCGGAGACAAACCATTCGTCAAGTTATTTTCACTGGAGTTCGCTTTTAACGCCGCGTTTTCTTGTTGTAATAACGTTACTGATTCGCGAGCTTTGCGTAACTCTTGTTGTAAGAAATAAATTGTGCTTTGCATCCCTTCTACATCTTCATCCAAATCTTGTAAAAATTCATCCAACTCTATAAAGATACGAAAAAAATAAGGTCAGTGTGTTTCATAAAATGCATTTAATATTAATAAAAACGACGAAAATAGTACCTGACTGTGATTTTTTCATTTCTTCACTGAAGCTCCTCTGTAGTGCAAGGTCTCCTTCTAGTTTAGCAATACGGCCACTGGCAATCATACGACCTAATTCTTCATTTTCTTGATATAATAATCTACACTTTGCCATTAACCGTTTTCCCGTGTTACTAGAAACAAGAATAATGTATAAAAAAACCGTATAATTCATTTATCTACAATAGCATATAATAAATGTTAAGTACCTATCTGGTGTAAATTTCCATGCACTAAGTTCATTTTGAGTATCTTCTAATTTCGCTTTGGTTGTAACAAGTTCTTGCCTCAATTTCTGAATTAAAATGTTTACAGCTGGATCTAGCAAAGCAGATCTTAGTGCAGCAGCGGACGGAGCATGAGCAGCTTTCATTTCAGCAATTTGATTCTAAAATAAATTTGAATTAAGCATTTGTATAAAAAGCTAAATAACTTGTATATTTTATTTATTATAAAATGAAACATCTACGTACAATGTATTCTTGTAATTCCTGTTCTTTAGAGGCAAGTCTCCTGACTAAGATTTTCTCTCTATGAGATGCTTCTGCATGTTGTTGCCTGTATTTGTTTTCAGACTCTCTCAACGATGTTAGTTCACCTATAAAGCAGTATTATATTATTTTTTTCTTTTAATCGAAATTTTCACTGTTTAAAGCTGTCTATGTGCTACATTGATTTGTTATATATTCAATATGATCATTATTATTATATATAATGAAATCGCACTTGAACATAATATATTCAATAAATATTATAAACACACAAAATACAAAGTTTCCTTGCAAAACGTATTAAAGAATACTATATAATCATTAGTGTATTTTAGAATATAGTACGTTATGAGACCAACTGTTACATAAAACCTTTTTCAAATTTTTTTTATCCTATGAAAAAATCATTATAACAAATAATACATTTTTCTTAATGTTACCAATTCATCTAGTAACATAAAATTGTTGTAACTTTCTCCACAGTAATAATATAAATTTTAAAAAAATCATTTATGAATTAATAATGTTATTAATAGTCTTATGTTCTTATGTAACTTGACACTTTTTACTATTCTATATAAGGATTTTCCTTTCCGAGATGAAACAAGATATATAAGGTAAAAAAACTATATATCCGAAAGATGAATTTTTGTAAGTCGATTACAGGCGATAAAAATTGACGAGACACATAGAAAGCTTGAAACCTTAAAATATATGTACATATATAATATAATGGTACAGAATATTCTGTACTCTTCTTTTATACTTCTTAATTGTATGTTTTGGTGAAATAAAGCATAGTGGTGAAAATCTACTACATACTGTTTTGCCCTAAGTGCGCATAAACAAAATATGTTTTTATAGGTATGTGACATTGACTGCCTGACAACTGACATTTTTAATTAGCGCATACTTTGAGTTTTGGAGTCGTTGCATCGTGCCATTTGTGAGATTCTCTGTGCTTCCACCGAGACCAAGAGTGGATGTTATTTTTCTTCCATGAGAATTGACAGACTACTTGTTGCAGACACAGATGTTGTCACAAGATGACCTCCCGGCCTTACTCAATCAGGTTTGTATTTCAGATCGGTATTTGGACATCAGGAAGTTATGGTGCAGGTACAAATGCATGCATGAATTGCGTTCTTAACGGAAATAGACAGGGATGGATGAGGTCTAGGAACATAATTAAAGTTGTTCAGTTTTATCAGACATATCTAAATATAAGGTAATATTAAAAATATATAGACTGGGATAAGAATCATTAGGATCGGAGAAAGCAGCTGGAATTTCAGATGATAACTGCATCAATTAAAGGTTTCGTACTTCACCAAGACTTAGGTTCACGCACCCCTGGCACAGTGTTTTGTAGGCCAAAGGATGATATAGAGCCTCTGTTTTTACTCTCCTGAGCTGTATATTCAGAGCCAGCAAGGATGTTGTATTTCATTTCATAATCCTCGCAAAGTCGAAACTCGATATCCAATGTACACACATACACACACGCACTGTTCTGCTTCTGGCAGTGTGGTTTTTACTACACTGTAGAAAGATACGCGCACACTGCACAGTCACTTACATGATCATATTAAAAGTAAGCTGTGTGTGTTTATTGTGGTGAAAGAAATGATTTTTTTTGTGAACACGATCAAAGTAACCCATCATCTCTTCTTGTCACACAATATCACTGTTTTCGTTTCGATATACACTTTGCTTTTAATATTAAATAATTTTTAATATGAATAATAGCGCAATTTAACACCAGATGATAAAATTGTGGGTTATTTGCATAATACTATGTATTAGACTCTCTTATATATATGCGGTGTACATGACCGTCACATCACTTTTGCTCACCGATCAAATTTTCAAACACTGTACATACTGGCGTTAATTTAATTACCCGCACTACACATCACAAATGTAGCTTTGGAAATGTATACAATATTACTATATCACTATCCTGCGTCTACGAAATATATTACCGAATTGACCTATCTGATACTTAGACGAATACATAAAGTTTCTACAATTGAACGTTTGCTTATCAATGTCATAAAAAAATGTTCTTAAAAATTTCATCTATACTCTTACGCTAATTTCATAGTCAAGATTGCTTTAATCTTAAGACTTATAGAGAACTTAGTGTCATTATTATCCTAAACACTTTACGATTAAACGCTTGGTTCCCTAATCTTAACGTCCCTATAAGAGTCTTGTCTCATACAAGAGACCGTTGTGTTCTGGCATTCGTAAATTCGCTTAAGAAATGTGGTGAGTGAGATGGTCTCACTCATGTGATCTCAGTACCTTCCTGGGCTGCGGCCTGGGCCTCTAGACACTCCACATACAAGTCCTGTTCATGCCACTTGGCTGCTAGCTCGTCCTTTGTCATGGCATCCATTTGTTGCTGTGTTAGCTTCACGCGTCTCGGTTGTCTAGGGGACTGGGGACTGGTAGGTTTTCCACCTGCAACGTTGTTTTGAGGACTTCGTGGTGAAGATGGACCTGCAGACTTAACATCGTTGCACTCCTCTGCCATTTTATGAAAGATGCTATTACAACCACAGCTAGGGCCTTAAGAAAATTCTAAGAGCTGCTTCTTCTTCTTTAGTAGTTTAGCTGCGCTGAATGTGCTGATGATACGGTGTGAGTGCTAGCGCACATTTGTCTGGAAAGGTAATACACAATACATGTAGGTAATATATGTTTAATAGTACATTTGTTACAATGATATAGTACAATGTACTATCAAGAAAACAAGACAAGTAGATAAAAAACGAAAATATATTTTCTAAATATTATAAATAGATTAAAAATTCACTAAAAGATATTTTACTAAATAGTACAATGTGTTTATTACCAATTGATATATTATGTTTAATGTTTTATCATGCAAAGGGCTGTTCTCACATATGAAAAATAGACATATATTTGTTATAAAAAGTAGCTGCATCCTCACAACAACATTAATATTTGTTTGTCATAAAATGGAACAAAACTTTTTCAGAGCGCAGGTTCAGACCCGGCTTTTAGAATGTACCACGTGATTCAAGTTGGTCACGTGGCTCGTTTAATGTTTTATTGCGACATGCGAGAATGGGTAGGGAATGTAGGATCCAGTTATCTATAGTCGAAAGGAACATTGACGCCATTATGTCGACATGTCTGCCATGAAAGAAAATTTCGCGGTATAACATTGAAATTCGTGATTGTTCCATTCTGAGCACTGTTAGAACCACTTAAGTGTGCAAATTACTTCGAAAATTTAGCAATCTGTTCAGAAAATGTACCTATGTTTATATATATATATATATATATTATATATACATACATATATACATATATATGTATAAAATATATATATAATATATATATCCAAATATTCGATTTTTTAGTGGAGATAGTAGAGGTAGTCATTGCATACTGTCAATTTAGTATTATGTTCATTCCACGTACCTGATCTAGTGACACGCCTATCATTCCACTGAAAAATGTTTGTATCCAATGTTCGTTATACCGTGAACCAACGAAACGCGACACCATACATACGCATATGCACATAGAGGTACACATATATATACACAAACGTAATTTTATAGTCTCTTGTAAGCAAGTAAAAACCTCGGTTAGCAGGTATTACGATCGATCAATCGGTGAAACATATAGATGTGTAGAGTTCGTCTCGATGTTCCGCGCATTCCAAATATAATATTAATACGCGCGCATGAAACACATATCACGCAATCTCCGGAAAAGTATAGCAGTATAACCAAACACAGTAATGTAACTAATCACGAGCGATGATTACCGCCGACCTGAAGAATCAGAATGGCTAAAGAAATGAATATCAGCGCATGCTCCAATCACGATTCTCCAACTACTAGTGCTGCTGACATAGAATATACTGAATAAGTGTTGTGAATAAACAGAGTACGCAAAATGCGACAGTGAAAAACCAACGCCACAAGAAGAAATTCATGAGATTAAATAGACTAAAATTACTTCACGCATTTTTCGTACTGCTAAATGTTAATTTTACAATTTATTAAACCATAATCGTTTTAAGCACAATACACGAAATATATATTACGTATGTCAAACACCGAATCACAGGGCTTTTACACTGAATAGATCGTTGTGAAGTTCTATAACTAGTCTAAAACGTTTCAAGATGGCAAACTGAAACCACCATTTTCAAACTATAGAAAGGTAAAAACTTGATAGACGAGTAAAGTATAATGCGAAAGAAGCATTTGTATTCGTCATAATAAAATATTTTGATTATTTATGTTTATTTGTCCATACTGGTAAACGATGCAAAGTTTAGGAGTTATTAAGAGAGATATTTAATATGAAAAATACAGAGAAATAAACACTACATTTTTTCTATTCTGTTTTGTTTTCAAGTAAGATGCGGAGGAGTCTCTAATGCTTCGTAAGCCTGCGATATCTTTTTTGATCACAGGTTTGAAAGATAATAATTTTAATAAATATTTAACTATATTTATAATATTTTGATTATTACGTAATGTTATATTATTCTAATAATGTATTATTGCATAAAATTTTATAAAAATGCTTTTTACTAAAAGTCTATAGGTTATGTTATTTAGAAGTGATCTGGATGTCGGCTAAATTTATTTTTTAAATATAATTTTTTTCATTTCAGAATTTGTATAGTGAAGGAATAAATTATTCTACAATGCTTCTGCGTCGTAAAATCCTAGGAGTTGCTTTAGCTGGTTCTGTGTCTGCATTAGTACTCCCTCAAACTATACTTCTAGAAAAATATAAAGAATTGAAAGCTAAATACCGGTGAGTAATTGAAGGTATTGAAAATTTTTATGGTACTATACAACATATATTCATTCCATTGTATTTTTAAAATAGCACAAACCAAACAGAAGTACCACTTCATGAAAAATGTAAGAACTTATTTGAACAAGTGTTAGATGATATGAAGTTATCAGATGAAGATAGAAAGCTTATAAAACCTTTTCAAGCTTTTGGCTATAATATATTTTCTGCTGGAATGCTTACACGTTCCAGTTATGGAGCTATAATTGGAATTCCAATGACTTATGTACAGGGAGATGTAAACGCAATAAATAAATTTCACATATCTTTCAATGGCAAACCTATAGATTGGACCAAAGAGTCTGCACATAATTTCTTAGAATCATTAGCACTCTCAGAGAATGCTCAAAAATATGCAATTGCTCGAGAAGTCTTGAAATTAAAAAAGAACTATTTACATAAACAAGTACTGATGGTCGTTCTAAACACTTTAGGACTATATTACATCTATAGTAGGTGTTATAAAAATTTTGATGTGTTTCAAAGAAGTAGGTTTTTCCGTGTTTTATTAGGTTCTGTTATAATTTTTGTAACAGTTTTTACTACGTTTGCATTGAATTGTGACATAAATGTTTATTTAGAGAAAAAACATGATGAAGAATTGTCGAAACTCGGTCCTAACTATGTTAAAGGTGCCATTGAATATTATAATAAACTATTCATTAGAAATATGGCATTGAAAGATTTGTTAAATGATGAAAGAAAAAATCCTGACGTGTATAAATATGAAGATACTTTTATATGGAACAGAGGTGCATCGCTGCCTGAAAGAATTCTTTATTTCGAAGAATATTCACAGATGAATGCAAATTAATAGTTACTTTATATAGTAAAATAAGCATTTTATAAAAAAACAATGTGAATTGTAAGTAGTAAAAATTGGTGATTATTCATATATGAAGTAGTCATTATTAAATTGACTTTATTAATTAACATGTAGTAATTATACAATTTATGTACATGTAACAAGTACATTGCTGATAATGGTTATTATTTTTACGAAATAAAATATTATAAATTTTCAAACAAAATTATCTTACAAAATTTGATATCCTTTACACTGTATAACATAAAGAATCTCAAGAAAGAGCACATGCATAAATTGCAGGCAATCCTTGTAACAATAAATGTTTATTTTATTAGTTAAACTTATAAATAGTTATAAAAGTTATTAAGAACATACCATGTTTATGGATGAACAGTTCATATTTGCCCTTGTATAGTAGAAGATATACTAGAAAGCGAAATCATTGTACCTTATCAAGTACCTACCAGTAAATAGTGCAAAACTTTTTATGTTTCTATAATTTCTATATATCATGTATTTATAATTTCGACAGAATACTAACCGTTTTTTAAAACTACATATTTCATAAATAAATGTAAGTTATTTACAAATTAATATACAAAAGTACTTACACATTCCTAAATTATATACATTATTTTGCACTATGTGAGACCCAAAGAACCAAGCTGAAATAACGTGTAATTTAAATTTAGGATACTTTAAAGGTATAATATATGTTTTTTAAATTTTTTTACCAGTGTCATTTTATCTTCTTCTTTTTTAAGTATTTTTGCTGTTTGTTCTTGATCAAATTTAACAACTGCAGCAATCACTCTAGCTAGCACCATTGTTTCTCTTCCCATCATATACTCGAATAAAATATTTCTAAGGTATTCTATCTCTGTTGAATCCTCTAATGTATCATGTCTTAATTTTACTATTTTTCTAAGTTCAGCTAATTCTCGCCTTTGAGCTGTTAACGTTTGTTGAAGTGTGTGAAAGGAACCAGTATTTGATTGTACTGCTGCCATTGCAACTCTAGAAGTGCTCTCTAATTCCTATGTAAAATTACATTCTTAATTAGTTTCCTATTCGAATAGGTTATTTTCATTTACTACCAAAAATACTACAAGCAGTAAATAAATAGAAATTAAATTTAATAGTACCCAGAGTATAGTAGAAAAGCAACAAAAGATCAACACAATAAAATAAAATGATACATTTACCTTAGAAACTAAATCGGTTTCTACATCAGGCTGAAAAATATAAATGAAAATAAAATAAAAAATGAAAAGTAAACATAAAATAAAGATATGAATTTATAAAGGAATGCGTCACAGTAAGTTGTTTTTAACCAACCCTTCTCTCGTTTTGCCATTCTTTTGTTAATTCACTAATTTCTTCTTCATGTTTTGCTTCCAACATATCAGTTTTCTGTTGCATAATTGCCTTCCATTTCTTTTCGATTTCTTTAACTTCATCTGCGTGTTCTTTTTTCATTAATGAAATTTTTTCCATTACTTGGTTTATGTCCTTTGATTTTTGTGACATCAAATTTTTATTTTCTAAAATTAAATTTTCTATTTGTTCAGATTTCGCAGTTAATTCTACTTGAAAATCTTTTAACTGTTCTTTATATTGATGAATTAAATTTGATTCATAATTTTGCTGACGATCTGAAACAAAAAATTTGTAAAAATTCTTATAAATGAATAGGATAAAGATTTTGATATTATACCGAAACGTTTTTCCAGTGCAGCATGCAATTCTTCTTCTTTATCTTGTAATTGAGCCTGAAATTCTTTAACCAATTGCTTTATTCTCATGCTTTGTTCTTCTTCATTTGTTTTTAATTCTTCTCGTAATTTATCCGCTTGATTTTTTAAATCATTATTAACAATTTGCATTTGTGATTCTTTTGCCTGGAATGTTATTAAAACTTCATCTAATTGTGCTTCTAATTTTTTCTTTTCTTCTTGTAGCATATTACTTTTTTCAATGAGGGATTCATCCACAACCTTAACATTATGAACACTTTGCATTTCTTTTTGTAATGCAGTATTTGATTCTAAAAGAATCTCTGTTTCTGCTTGTATTTTAGCGATTTCTCCTTTTAAATGCTCAATAGTTCGTCTCGATAGTTCTAATTCTGTCGATTCTTCTTCTGTCATTGAAGATTTTAATCTTTCAATTTCTCTTAACAATTCTGTATTCTTAGTATCTAGTAACTTTAACTCTGCTACTTTTTCGTCTACCACAAATTTTAATTCATCTAATTCCGTTACTAATTTACCTTTATCTACATTCATATTTTTTATTTCAGATAATAATTCTACATTTGTAATTTTTAATGTATCAAATTCAGTCTGTAATTCAACATTCCTCGACTGTATTTCCTGTAAATTAGATATCTTGGATTCTAAATTATTTACGTAAGATTGAAGTTTCGTATTCACAGACTCTACATTTTCCAATTCTGTTATCTTTTCCTTTAAAGATAACTGTGCCTTAACTAATTCATTATTTTGTATTTGAACATCTTCTAAACTATCTTTTTCTTTATTTAAGTTATTTAGGTCTAACTTCAGTTTATTATTTTCTTCTTCAACAGATGTTAACGCCAAAAGTTTTTCTTTTAATGATTCTATAGTTTTTAAAAGTTCTTTATTTTCTTCTTCTATGTTATCCCTACTTTTTAAAATTAAACTTAATTCAAACATTTCATTTTGTAGAGTTTCATTTTCTCTAATGATACGTTCCTTAATTTCTTCTGTTTCCTTTTTGTACTGAATTAATTCTTCAATTTGCGACTGTAATTCTTTAGTTTTAGACTGTAACTTTGTATTTAATACTGTTATTTGCGTTTTTAAATTTTCTATCTCTTTAGTTTGTTCATTTAAATTACTTTTATATAGTTCAATTTCTTTTTGCGATTGCGTATTATCATTCAATAATTGTTGATTGTGTTTTTTATAACTTAAAATTGTTTCCTTCATCTTTTCATTAGACTCATTTAGTTCTTGATTAAGCTTTAAAAATTCATTTTGTTTATCTTTTAAATTTTTATTTTCTAAATTTATTTCATTTTGTATTAATTTTAATTGTTCCAATTCTGTACTTATTGTTGAATTATTATCTTTTAGTTTTGTAATTTGGCAGTTTTCAGATTTTAATTCATCCGTTACTTTTTCTAATGCGTTTAACTCGTCAAGTAATTTCGTATTTTTAATTTTCATTTCGTTAATCTCATCATTTAATTGTTGTATCGTTGTATCTTGTTCTTCTTTAATACTTTTTAACTTTTTTAGTTGAGCTAATTTGGTCTGTAATGTCTTTTGTAATCCTTTTCTTTTATCTGTAAGTTCAATAATTTCTTTTTCACGTTCTTCAAATAATTTTACGTTATTTTCGTTCTCCGTTTTCAAATTTTGTATAACATTTTCTTTAGTCTCCAAAGTTTCGCTGAAAGTATTTATGTCTTTATCCTTTTCGATTAAACTATCTTTTAAGTTTTGTATTTCTGATTGTAAAGCCTTTGCTTCATCTTCCAACTTATTACATTTGGAATTTTCAGATTTTAGTAATGCAATAGTTTCTGTTGCTTCTATATAATTTGCTTTCAAATTATCGAATTCTTTCACATCGTTAATTGCTTTCTGAAGATGTTCTTTTAAATCAGAGACTTCATTAGAAAGTGATTGATTTGTAAAATTAAGTTCTTCAGATAGGTTCTCGAAATGGTTTAATTTACACTGAAGTTTATTCATTTCTGCTACAAGTTTAGAATTCTTTAACTCGAGTTCGTTCCGCTGTTCAAGTACTAACGACATTTCCTTAAGCTGTTCTTTACATTTTTCTAAATCTGCTTCCAAACTGCATTTAAGACTTAAAATATCTCTTAATTCTGTCTGTAAGTCGTCATGTTTTCCTCTGAGTTCAGATAATTCCTGCATTTTAATTTGTATATTTTCCATTTCATCATTTTGAATAGCATTATTTCGTTCTATATATGTGGTAAGTACGTTTTTAAGAACAGAAATTTCATCATTAAAGTGTGTATAACGTTCTATTAATGTACTTTTAATACACACACCATCTTCTTTTAACTTTTGAAGAGTACCTTTGTAATTTAAAATATTTTTAATTAAAATAGATTTTTCTTTATGAAACAACTCAGCATTAGAACAATCTGTTTGAAGCTTGTTCTTAAGATCAGATATACTAGATTTACAAGACTTAAGTTCATTGTATACTCCAAGCAATTCAGTGTTTTTATTTTCTAATTCTTCATTTAATTTATTTAGTTCAGAATTTTCGTCTTTATCCTTGTTCATTAAAATCTCTCTCAGGTTTTTCAGCTCTTCATCGCGAGTTTGTATAATTGTTTGTTGATTTTTAATTTTAATTTGTGCCTGTTTTGTTATATCATCAGCAATAATTTTCTGTGCATCTTGTTCATTTTTCAATTCTTTACAATAGACTTTACAGCTGGAAAGTTCTGTAAATAATCTTTCTTTCTCATTTTGATACTCTTCAGTAAGTTTTTGTAATTCCTCAAATCTTCCTTTCATTTCTTGTAATTCATTTTCTTTTTTATCTAATTTAGATCTTAAATCTTCAAGTACTTCGCTGTGACTGACTTTTAGTTTCTTTTCCAATGTATTTTCTTTTTCAGCTACTTCTAAATTTTTTAAATGTTCTTTATTACCATCGATATCTTCATGGTATCTTAATCCAATCTTATCTTCCAATTTGATTAATTTTTGCTGCATTTCTTCTTGCATAAGTTTTAGAGCTTCTGATTTTCCTCTGGATATATCTTGTACAACTTCTTTCTTCTCTGGATCTGAATTTTGAGAAGAATGAAGTAATTTCAATTTTTCTACTTCTGTTTTATACTTGTTAATAATTTCACTTAAACTATCTTTAGATTCTGTCATATGTTTCAAATCCAATCTAAGTTGCTTTATCCGTTCTTCTTTATCTTCTAATTCTCTATGTATGAAAAGTTTATTCTCAGCTAATGATATCGCAGATTCCTCTTCCCGTTTTTTTAGAATATTCACTTGATCTGTTAGCTCCTTCACTTCTATATATACATTACTCAATTCCTTTTCCTTTTCTGCATAAGAATTTTTCAGTGTTTCATAATCACTTTCCAATGTATTTTTTTCTGTCGATACTTCCATAAATTTTTCTTTATTCCGTTTTAAAGAATCTTTCCATTTTAAGACAACATTTTCCAATTTCTTCAATTTGTCTTTCAATTGTGCATTTTCTAATGCCAATGTATTTTCATTCAAAGCATTTGATGATTCAGTGCTTAAATCAATAAGATTATCTTTCAAATTTTCTTTCTCATCATTAGTATTAGAAGTTGCACCCTCCAAATTCGATCCATTAGTTTGTAAAAGTTTGATCTGAAATAACAGTAACATTAGAATCTAATAATCATATCACAGAATAGCAATAAATTTGTTGTTACTTTTGTATTTAATGTATTTATTATATGATCTTTTTCTTCAATATCATTTCTCAGTGCTTCTTCCAAATGAGCTTTCGCCTGTTGTTCCAATTGACATTGTTCTCTTAAATCAGCTATACGTCTCAGGGCTTTATCCTGCGATTCCACTAATACTGATTCTAATTTGCCTTTAACTCTTTCCAGTTCTCGATAGTGTGTTGCTAAATCGGTATATCTTCCACGGTATTTGTGATATTTAGTTTGCACCTTTCGATAAGCCGAATATATTTGATCTTTTGTAACCTTATCTAATTGTGAACTTATGTTTTCATCTATTTCGCTAGCAGATTGATCCATATCAGACTACAAAGGTAATAGAAACTAACAGTTAATTATATTCGAAATAAATCCCTGTTTTGTATTGTTGAAATATTTCACCTGTAAGTGGTACATATTAGCAGGGCTTTCATAAATTGGAAAAAGAGCTGAAGTATCACTAGTAACACTGCTAATTGATGATCTTCTAGATATACCCATAGAGTTTGATGTAGGTGATATCAAATCTACATTTTGAAAACCATGTTTAACAGGACTATTCTTTGGAGTTTCTGTAAATATAAAACAACTCAAAATTTATACTTTCATAAACTATGTGTATGAATACGTTAAAAACAATAATCGTGTGTTTTACTTCTACTGTAACACAATCTTAATCATACATGTGGAATTGAAACTGGTTGTGGTTGTCCTTATCTGTAGGTGCCTTTATCACAAGGAGATTGTTGCATAAATAAAAACTTACCATCTCCTTCCTCAGTTAAACTAAAATTGTCATTAGACGTGGATAACTCCTGAATTGAACTATTGGATAAAGAAGGAGACACAACAGCCTAAATGAAAAAAAAAGTTTTATTAGAAAAAAATTTATATTAAACAAAGTGAAAATTAGTATGATATATTCAATTGACAATTTTTAAAAGCAATTATAAATAGTTCTTGAAACTAAGATAAAATATGCTAATGTCAAACCAAATTACGTTATAATGTACATGATGAATATAAAATTAGAATTTTGTAATGTACAGTATTGTTTCATTTTGATGTTTTAATATTGAATGAAATGTCAAACCTGGGCCAGTTGCTGCATGCTCGCTTGCAATCTGGCGGGTGATTGTTTCATTTCTTCTGCTAGCTTGTTTTTAAGTTTTTGAAACATTTTTCCAAAATATTTGAATCTTGCGTGTCTCCAATTAAATTATATCACTTTTCATGAACGTGTTTACGTGAAATTAGGTTGGGATCAGAGGCAATAAATGTTTCAGTTTAAAGATAACAAAAAACATTATTTCACGGTGTTCAGGAAGGCATTGTGAAAAGTTATGCAGATCATTAATAATTATACGTAATATTGTAATTCTTCAGGAAGAATATGTTTTTAATATGATATTACAAAATTGCCGTGAAACCATGTATACGTAGGCACAGTTATTGCCACGAACATTAATGTCAGTAGATTGCTGTCGCACATGATTTTACTGAATTGTTAGGTGCACTTGTTTTAGAAACAATCTGCTCAATCCACTAGTTATTCTATACTTCTTTTTATGATTACATACAATTTTACTCTTAATATGCTTTTTTATTTAAATAGTTAATTATAAACTGATTATATATATATATATATATAATTGGATATAATGCTCAGTCGATAAATGTAAGGCGTATTGCATAATATAAAATGTGTAATAAAATTTAATGTTTGAAAATATTTTAATAGAAATGTTAGAAATCTTAGAATTCTGATTGTAACATAACGTTAAGTTGATTTTAACAACTATGCCAATATTTATCTAACTTCGTTAATAATCTACATTTTACATTTTAAAAAGAAAATAAATAATACATATATATATTTTTTTATTACTGTATATATAAATATTATACATTATACTTTTCTATAGTTGGAGATACAATCAAATGCAATTAGGTATAGTTTGTGTGTGACATAGTGCGTTGCTGGGTTTATTCTTTAATTTATAACGAACTGGATCTAATGATTTAAACAAAAAACAACGTTTATATTCAATGATTTGATTTAAAAAGGAAATTCTCTTCGTCTAAAAAAAAATGGTATAGTATTATCATGCATGTACTTTATATACAATAATTTATAACCTTACTCTTCGGTATCAGACATTCAATTTTTGAAATTTAAATAATTTTTGATGACATAATTAAACGTTCGAATGATACTACTGATATGTAAAATTACTTTCTATTTTTGTTCTTTTAATTATATGTTTATGTTATAATTTCTTTCTTATTGTATCTGATAATTTGCAAGAAACATTAACAGCTATTTAATTGTTTATTTCTTAAGTAAAATATGTTTCCTGCTAGAAATAAATATATAATTTTAAATATCTTAATTTTTATTTTTTTGTATAATATGTTATAGGCTTCAAATGATGGTATACCACCACCTGCAGCGGTACCTGGATTTCCACCAGCAACTCCAAATATTGCTTCTAGTTTTGTTCCACCTATTATGCCTACTGCACCCTTCATACCACCTCCTAGTCTACCACCTGGTCCACCAGGCATAATGCCACCACAATTCTCCATACCTCCTCCTGGTTTTAGTTTTCCAATTACTGCTGCTCCTCCACCCGATGCTGGAGTTATAGGTCAATACTTTTATTTAAAAAACATTCATTTGTTTTTGTAAAGTCATTTCATTTAGATATTTCTTATATTTTAGCCGCACCTCCTCAAATAACAGCTCCAGGTATTCCTCCACCAGCACCTATAACGGGCGATAATGGATCTACTGTTCAGTCTATTACGACAGCTGAGAAGAAGACTGATTGGACTGAGCACAAAGCTCCAGATGGCAGAACATATTATTATAATAGTGCTACAAAACAATCATTATGGGAGAAGCCTGATGAATTAAAAACACCTAGTGAATTGCTTTTATCACAGTGTCCTTGGAAGGAATATAAATCAGAGAATGGGAAAGTATATTATCATAATGTAACAAGTAAGGAATCAAGGTGGACTATTCCTACAGAATTGGAAGAACTGAAAACAAGAATTGCAGCTGAAGAAGCTGCAGCAGCTGCAGCAGCAGTTGTTGCGAATGCTACAAACACGTTAGTGTTTACAGTATAAACTTCATACATGATGTTACACTATAAGCTTCAGCGATGTTAAATCAAATTTATGTACAATTATTTGGTCTTGCAGTATAGTTCCTGTAGCTATGCAACATTTGTCTCCAAATATTGCAATTACAAATGCATCGCAAACCAGTACACCAGAACCAGGTGGCAAATCTGCGATAGAGCAAGCTATGGCTGCGACACTTGCAGCAATAAACATTCCTACTCCACCTGCAAAACCAGATGAGGATAGCAATTCTGCTAAAGGATCAGCAAATGATAGCCGTACCAGTACTCCTGAACCAAAAATGCAATTTAAAGACAAGAAGGAAGCAATCGAAGCGTTTAAAGAATTATTAAGAGAAAGAGATGTACCGTCTAATGCTACATGGGAACAGGCAGTAAAGTTAATTCAAAGTGATTCTAGATATCCTCAAATGAAGAAATTAAATGAACGCAAACAAGCTTTCAATGCATACAAAACACAAAAGCTTAAAGAGGAGCGTGAACAAGAAAGATTGAGGTAAGTAATAAATAAGAGTATACAATGATCGCTATTTAAACAGTGGGAAGAAACAATGCATTCTATTAAACAGGTTAAAGAAAGCTAAGGAAGACTTAGAGCAGTTTTTGCTAGAAAATGATAGGATGACAAGTACAACCAAATACTATAAATGTGAAGAAATATATGGGAATTTAGAAGTATGGAGAGCTGTAGGTGATTCAGACAGGCGAGATATATATGAAGATGTTATTTTTAATTTGGCTAAACGTGAAAAAGAAGAAGCAAAACAATTGAAGAAAAGAAATACCAAGAGGTTAGCCCAAGTTTTAGACACTATGACAGATGTCACATATAGAACAACTTGGCAAGAAGCACAGGCACTACTTTTGCAACATGCAGCTTTTGCAGAAGATGCAGATTTATTAGAAATGGACAAAGAAGATGCCTTACTCGTGTTCGAAAATCATATACGACAGCTAGAAAAAGATGAAGAGGAAGAGAAAGAACATGAGAAAAAACGTAGGAAACGTCAAGAGAGAAAAAATAGAGATGCGTTTATAGTAGGTTTTTTAAATTTGTTACATTTTTGACTAAATTTTTTCTAGGTAACTTCAACAACGAATTTTCTTTCCCTTTTTTCAGAGTTTACTCGACGAACTACATGAGCAAGGAAAATTAACATCGATGTCACTTTGGGTAGAACTTTATCCAATGTTATCGGCTGATTTAAGATTTTCTGCTATGCTTGGTCAATCTGGATCAACGCCCTTAGATCTTTTTAAATTTTATGTTGAGGATTTAAAGTCTAGATTCCACGATGAGAAGAAAATTATAAGAGAAATCTTAAAAGATAAGAACTTTGAAGTACAAGTTAATACTACTTTTGAAGAGTTTGCTACCGTTGTATGCGAAGACAGAAAATCTGCAACATTGGATGCAGGAAATGTAAAACTGACGTACAATTTATTACTTGAAAAAGCTGAAGCAAGGGAGAAGGAACGCGTAAAAGAAGAAACTAGGAAGTTTAAGAAATTGGAAACCGGTTTCAAGAATTTGTTGAAGTCTCTCAATGTTGATTATCAAATGACGTGGGAAGATGTACGAACGAAAATTGAAGAGGAACCAGACTTTAAAGCAATCACGTTAGAAAGTGAAAGAGTTAGAATCTTTAAAGAATATCAGCATGAACTCGAAGAAAGTTGTAGCCATCATCATATCAGAAGTAAAAAGAAAAAAACGAAAAAAGTGAAACGGAAATCACGATCTAGATCTCACAGTGTAAGTACATCGCGTGATCTTGAAATGAGATTATATCTAATATTTAATTATAATTCTCTAGGAGTCTGAAGGAAGCGAAAAAGGCTTGAAGAAAAAACGGCATAAGTCACGTTCACCTAGTGTTCCTAGTAAATCAGATAGTTCTGAATCTGATACTAGAAAATCAAAAAGGAAAAAGAATAAAAAGAAAAGAGGACGAAGTCATTCTGTAAGTGGAAATATTTATAGTTTGTGTTTTAATTTAATTTCAAATAAATTATTTAAGATAAATGTATTAACTTACTTCCTTAATATTCTTGTACAGCGGTCACATTCGAGACTTCCATCTTCAGAGGAATCACCGGAAAGGAAACGAAAAGAGGAGAAACATAGGAGAGCTTCCGCTCATAGTGAAGGTTCTGTTACAGAGAATGCAGAGCATCATGAACTTTCGGAAGATGAATTAGAAAAACAAAGAGCGCAATTACTCCGGGAATTACAGATGCAACAGGAAGATAACTAAGAACACCACGTTTTTTAATGACACCTTATGTAACTTTAGATTAATGCAATATTAAATTAAACTTTGTACAAACTAAATTTTTTTTTTATTTCATGAATATATTGAAGAAGTTCCTATATTAAAAAATGTCCATGCTTACGTTTAAGTGTGTTTTTTTAAAAATAACTACAACAACTTGTACTGTTTCGAAATATCTTTGAAATCAACTCTTTTTGTGCATGAATATTTAAAGTATTAGAGGACTTAATGGTTTTCAAAGAATTATGTACATACTAAAATATAATATTGAATAATTCATTTAATACTGCTAGATGTTTGTTATACAATACCATATTTATTTTGATATTTAAATTTATGAAGTATCACCATAGAAATATTTGTACAATTATATTACATATCTTTAAATATTTCATCAAATATATAATATCACGAGAATAAACTACCCAACAGACACCAAATTATGATCTAATTTTGTAATTGAAAATAAATAATTTTTGGAATTATATATTTTTTTAAAATATGAAATCCAAAATATTTTCATTATATTAAAACATTTTGTTGTTATATACGAAACGATCTAAACTTTATTCATAATTTTTCTTTTTACTTTTGAATGTTTTCCCCTATTTTTTGGTTTGTCATTACGGCCCTGTCTTATAGTCGAATTGATGGAGGGTGGGGAACATGTGGGGGGAGGTTTGGCTCACTATTTGCTCGATGGTAGCCGCGGCCGTCGTAGTTTCGACAATTCGGTATTCTGATCGGTTTTTACGGTGATTGTTGTTAACAAATTACGTTGTCAGCTTAACGAGCCTTAAGCAACAAAAATAAAAAGCGTTCATGTAAAAAATAACAAGGAAAAGTGAACGAAACGGAAACACAATGTTGAGCCTTTGCCGTCAAGCATTAATAGCTAACAGTCAAAAGTAAGTATAAAAATATGAAACTCTTAGTGAAGCACGGTGTATTAGTAAGAAAAAATTTCACTAGTTTTTGTTCTATTGTACTACAACATGTACTGGCTCCTAGTAACATATATTGATTATTTTCATGCATTGACACAAGCACTGTATAACAACGCCTGAACATAAATGAAGGGTCGCGCATGTATGTAGACGTCAACTTATTGGTGTGTTATTAGTTCTCTGATTCGTCTTCCTTGTCATATTTCCTCTGTCCCTTCGTTGTTCTTCCTTGTTTAGGAAAAGGATAGGCTACCTTACTGGTCGGTCGGAATTTTCCACTGTACAACGAATATGAAAGGTGTCGTTTGACAGTTCGTTGACCTATTTCTTTGGCAATGCAATACTTTTTGCCTAATATGTTACTCTAATTATTCCTCAATAGTTATTATACTATAATCCACATAATATACACTTTTCTTCCAAATAAATACTTTTAATGTATGTTTTATTGGACGTATATAACGATCACTCTATTTCTAATGTTACTTATTGCAAACGTGTAAGCATGCACAATGAGATACGCAAAACGTCAGAGCATGCGTACGTTACGTACTTTGCAACTTTTGGATTGTTTGTTTTACCGGTAATGTATTATGTCATTCATTTGTATACAGGACTATTCTAACGGATTTTACTTCAATAAAATTGAACATATTTTTGAGTAAACTTTTATGACGCAAGTGTACAGTTATTTTTATACAGAACGCAGGTTTTAAGTTGAACCGTAATCGCAGTTACGAAATTCAAGCGAAATTTACAAATTTTGATCAACCGTTTACACATGCGCGCCACTAGCATCTCTACAAGTTAGGCAATCTCTCTAATCAGTCAGCTGTATCGTGAAAAGTATATTTTATCATTTAAATTTATTCATGAATTACTCTATGGAAATTATTTTCGATATTTAATATCTTATTGTAAGATAATATGTCTTTACAGCGTTTAAAGTTTGGAACAATTTAAAATTGAAAATTTATGTAAAAATAATAAATCTGTTCGTTGTAAGAATACCTATCGCGAAGATATTCGAGATTTCACGCTTTACTGAATAGACATTAATCTTTTGGGCATTCTACATGCTGATGTTAATCGTCTTGTTATTCGCTTGCTATGAAATTACTTTTAACAGTTTTGTTTACGTATGTACATATATATAAATACATATATGTGCACACGCGTTTTTAAAATATATATTTGAGTACCTATGCATTTACACACGTTATGTAGCATCGATTTAGTTCCCATATTTTATCGATTATTCGTAAATATGTAAATTACACAGCGGAATTTTTGCCATGGCCTCAATACGAATCAATGTACATACAGTCGGTAATCTGTGTTCTGTCCCATCAGAAAATTAATTGTAAATAATAGTCTTCATTGCTTTGAATTAATAAACGATAAAATTTTTATGATTTTTTGAAAAAACGGAATAGTTTTTTTATTAGGGAAGTATGGATTTGTTGCCTTGAAGTCGGTTAATCGTTCTATAATTGAACCAAGTGCACTGGTTCACTTCGATAGCGATAATTTAGCTGATTCGTGTGTAACGAATCCGAGACTTCATTGATTTTATTCAATTAACAGTATTCTTGTTATCGAATTGTTATTTTGTGTAATTAGTAATATAGCGATAACTGTAATGTAGGTCACCAAGGTTCCGTTACATAATACCTACTATGACCATGGTATTGGTTTGACATATACTAGCGAGTTTAAAATAACGTCTTTCTCCCCTCGAAATAAGTATTCATTTTCATTTATGTAATAGATGCTTGGAATTTTTGTGGAAACTTAAATAAGATAAATCTTATGTAATATCTTTTAATAATAAATATGTATTAATATAATGCAACATTGTGAATATTTTAATAAATTGGCTGTATGATTTGTTGTAAATTAAATATTAAATATCTTTATATCCGTTATAATCACTGTTTCTTTTTTTCATTAATTTTACTAGATTCTTGTTATATTAGACAGTTAACTACGAAAATGAAATTCCGAATTTTTTAGATTTGAGAATACAGATAGCATTGTAAGTTTAATACTGATTCTTAAGTACACAGATAAATATTTAGGGATGGCTTGAAGATAGATTTCAAGAGTTAATATTTGTTCATGCTTGTTATCTCATTACCTGTAGTACTAGCAAATATAAATTGTAAATTTAAAATTCAGATTTGGTTACAAATATTTAAATAAAAGAAGCAATTGAAAAGAAATATTCAATATATAATAATATCTAATTTGTACTCAATATTTCTTTTGTAATAGAGTTAGTTCAAGATGTCTGGGAACAATTGTGCCAGTACCTAATCCTCCTGAATTTCCTTTGGAAAATGAACCTGTCCTTAGTTATAAAAAGGGTAGCCCTGAAAGGGCTGAATTGGAAAAAGCCTTGGATAAAATGGCTAATGAATGTGAAGAAGTACCATTAGTTATCGGTGATGAAGAAATTAAAACAGATTTATGTAGATACCAAGTTATGGTGAGTTACATAGAGTAATAGATGGTAATGTAAGTAATGAAGTATAGATACATCAATAATTATAATGATCTGTTGTTTAGCCACATAATCATAAGACAAAAATAGCTAAATATCATTGGGCAACACCTAATCTAGTCAAGAAAGCAATTGATGTTGCTGTGAAAACCCAACGTGAATGGGAAAAATGTCCAATTGATAAACGTTTAGAAATTTGGTTGAAGGCAGCTGATTTAATGGCAAACAAGTACAGACAACAATTGAACGCTGCCACCATGCTTGGTCAGAGTAAAACAGTTATTCAAGCAGAGATCGATAGTGCAGCAGAATTAATTGATTTCTTCAAAATGCACGCATACTTTGCTAAAGATAGCCTGAAGTATCAACCAATTTCACCAAATTCTAAAGAAACTTTGAACTCAATGAGGTATCGTGGAATGGATGGTTTTGTTGCAGCAGTATCACCATTTAACTTCACTGCCATTGGTGGTAATCTTGGTTACACCCCTGCTCTAATGGTTTGCATTTTTTTTTTAATTACTTCTCTTGTAGCCTTTCTTGATGAATGAATTGAATACTAGGAATTTTAAACACATACTTAATATAAACTTCTTTTTAGGGTAATGCAGTTCTTTGGAAACCATCTGATACAGCCTTACTTTCTAATTGGTGGATCTTTAAGATATGTAGAGAAGCTGGTGTACCACCAGGTGTAGTCAATTTTGTACCATGTGAAGGTCCTGTTTTTGGAGATACTATCACTGCTTCTCCATATTTGTCTGGAATTAATTTCACAGGATCAGTACCTACGTTTAACCGGTTATGGATGCAAGTCGGTCAAAACTTGGGAAAATATAAAAATTATCCAAAATTAATAGGTGAATGCGGTGGGAAAAATTATCATTTTGTACACCCAAGTGCAGATGTAGAATCAGTTGCCAATGGGACTATAAGAAGTGCATTTGAATTCAATGGTCAGAAATGTTCTGCTTGCAGTAGAATGTATGCACCAGAATCTTTATGGCCTAAGGTATATTTTTCACATGTACTTTCATATTATAACATACGAATGAAATATTTTTATACTATTAAATATAACTAATTTTATTCGTAGTTAAAGGAACGACTTCTATCTATTCGTGACAAACTAACATTTGGAGACGTTAGAGATTTCACTATGTTCACCGGAGCCGTCATAGATGCTACTGCATTCAAGAGAATTTCTGGTTATATCGATCATGCGAAAAAATCTTCAAACTTGGAAATTATTGGCGGTGGAAAATGCAATGATTCGTACGTTGATTTCCTTATTAATGTTCAATAAGGATGTTTTAAATACGTTTATATTGACACAATATATTTGTTCTTCCAGGAAAGGATACTTCATTGAACCCACCATAGTGGTAACAAAGGATCCAAAAGATAAGATTATGACTGAGGAAATATTTGGCCCTGTGTTAACAATTTATGTTTATAAAGATTCGAAGCTTGATGAAGCTATGAAACTTGTAGAATCGTCAACACCTTATGCTTTAACTGGAGCGATATTCGCACAAGATGAGTAAGTATTCTAATTTCTAGTGGAATTGTATTGTTACAATTTGATTCATTACACCTAATCATTTTTTAGAAACTGGGCGAGGAAGGCGCTTGAGGAGTTTAAATATACAGCTGGTAATTTTTATGTTAATGACAAATCGACTGGGTCAGTCGTTGGCCAACAACCATTTGGCGGTAGTCGGATGTCTGGTACAAACGATAAAGCTGGCGGCCCTCACTATGTCCTTCGTTGGGCATCACCACAGTCGATTAAAGAAACGTTTGTTCCACTGCGTGAATATGAATATCCATACATGAAATCTTAGGTTTAAGTTAATGGCGTACATTAATCCTCTATTACAAAATGAAAAAATGCCGTTGTTCATAGATAATCGATACGATCGATGAAGTATCCTGATGCATTTTGTTTTACGTGGATTTATCGCGTAAAAGTGGCGCTATTTGCACTTATGATGCAAGTGACTCGCGCTTCGTAGGAATTTGTATTATATCAAATAAGATGCTTATACACACGATCACTGGTGATCAAGACACTTGATTTATATGGATAGAGCGTTCAGCGATTGGTATTTATTCATACCAATTGATTAGTATTTTTGTTTGGACATTAAAAAAAGTTACCGTCTGATCAATTGACATCACTGGATGAGTATTACATACTTGTGAATCACATTCAAAGCTGCAACATAAGTTCACATTATTTGCTCTGAATAGATGAGAATAATATTATATAACTTGCAGCATAGAGTCAATATTGTTAAGATCAATTTTTAGTACAATATTTTAATATCTCAGGAATATGTGTATACATGGTTACAGGTAGAGAGGCATTTGATTTTTCGGTCATAGTTTGAAATATGAATATCCTGAATAAACTGTATAAGGCGAATTAAGAAGCAAAACATCCTGGATGTATCTGGGAATTGTGATGAATGCGTACTATATAGTTAGGAAAACCATAAAGTTGTGTTTTTCTGACCTTGCCCTTTTTATATTCTTACACGGATCGTTTACGCGCGGCCGATGTTGTGCCGTCGTATATGTGCAGTCCGATTCATTTTGTGTGTAATTCATGAAGTAACATGTACAGTGAGTCAAAAGAATATTTGTACAGTATCAGTTTCCTCGTAGTGATTTTATATAAAGAAATACCATATTAATATAATCTGGATTGTTTAGTACTTCATTATAAAAACAGAATAATATATTCGTTTAAAAAAATTAATAATTTATTATTCAAAAGTTATACACAAACAACGAAAATCTCGTGGCTAAAAAAAAGGGATTTTTACAATGTTAATCGGTCTAATAATCGTATATTTAATAGTGATGTGTTATAAAAATAGCAACAAAATATCCATTATAAGTGTTATATGTATATTTATTAATATTGCATCATTATCTAGAGGGTATGTTATGTACTTTGGAATTACCCTTTATCGGTATGTATGGTAGAGTAATTAGAAGTGTTAGAAGCGTCATTCATTAATTATATGAATACAGATAAAACGGTTGAAGTATGTGAATGTAAATTTACAAAAAGCAACAAATTTTTGGAAAGATGTGGCAATGGAGAGTACTTTGTGAAAATTTATAAATCATAAATAAATTTATCATATGGTAACGATTTCTTATGGTAAGACTCCTTAAGTTTACGGTGGCTACTAGTACCTTTAGGGAATTGCCGATAGAGGACCTCGCATTGTCAATTTCAAGAATTCGCTTTTTGTCTTTTGAGTTTAATAAAAATACAACAGAACAGAACATTGAAAATCTTAAATTAAAAAGTTCTCGCAAAACAATTTCAACAATTAACAAATGAATAAAAATTCATGCATGCATGAAGGTGACAATCTTACGGCTTAGATTCACAAGATACAAAAAATCTGATTTACTTTATCGATTAAGAACAGAATACTCCACTTATGGATATATACTCCACTTTATAATTTCAATGTTTATTCTTCCATAAATAAATTTCTTTCATAACGTCTCCGTTATGAAAGAATAAATAGTATTACAGAAACCTCGAAATTACCGTGGCAGTTAACGCGTTAACAGTGCGTTCGCAACTCACTGATCTCGTTCTTCAGACCTTTAGTCGCGTTGTCCCGTTCCTCGGCTCAGCGTTCGCTATTTCCGTTGACACACTTCGATCCGCCGCGATCATTCCCGCCTCTTCTTTCCCTTCTTTTTTCGCTGCCATCGTCGAGCGGATCGCGTCGATCGAGGGCGCTTTGACAAGCTCGGAATTGTGAGGCAGCCGGCTGAGGGTTGACACTGGAAGACACCCGACGGAAGGAGAGGGATTCGCGACGGCTTAGGCGAAATCGCCGTTAATGGCTTGGCCGGAGGATTTCCTGGCGTTCGCCGAGCTTTTTTACGCGGGTTTCCGGCCGGGCCCGATCTAAAGCGCTCACTCAAATCAAGATTCTCACCTTTTCACCGGCAGAGATGAGCCGGATGGCCGACCCGGACTCTCCCCCTGCAACCCCTAGCCGCCAACTCCGCGGAGCTTCCGCGTCCCGCTTTTTTCTTCATCCATCTTTCGCCATCTTCGTCCTCGATCCCGTCCTGTCTTTGCTTTTTCGAGAGCCGGAGCCTTTTCAGGACCTCCCAGCGTTTTTTCCCCAAACCCCCAGCGCTAAATGGCCAGTTTTTCGGCGGACCAGCTAAACCGCTAACCCGGGGTCCGGCCATCGTGTTCGCGCCGGACGAGAAAGGAGCTTTCTTCACGGTAATCTGAAATTGACGTAATGATGATGGATCTACCCCAGCGATGAAATTAACAGCCCTTGTCCTCCGCTGGTAGGCCTTGCCAGGAATAACCCAGGGCCAATTTCGAATAGCCAACGGTGAACGTAAATACGGGCTCGGATTGGGGATTCTGCGGGATGGTTGCCGACAATGTAAGATTTTTTGGTTGGAAATTGGGCGCGAGTTTGA